GACGTGTTGAGATGACTATCTTCGTTCCACAGAATGCGATTCCTTTGTAATGTCTTTCTCTATTTGATTCGTTACGTGTTGAGTTCGCATATAAGAATCCCTGTCCTGATCCGATATATCAATACCTGCTTTATACTTGTTGTATAAAATAATAGCCTCTGGTTTAAAAACTGGTTAATTTTTGTGATTTTTTAACAAATTTCGCAAATATTAAGGGTATGGCGAGTGTCTTTCCAATTTCCCACAACAATGAACCCATTTCCCTTCCTTTTATGTCTCCCTTCTTCAGTCCTTTCTCGTTTAGGATTTTTTTCGGAACGTCTTTTGTGTTTTTTCGCAATGTACCTAGTACATGCGTTTTCTTCTCTGACAAAGTATTTGTCAGCTGAATGTTAGTATAAAAGTTGGCCACTACCAGAGTGTGTCCTTTATCTAGGTAATCATTTAATAAGTTCGTAACTATTGTGTTAGATTTCCTTCCCTTTATATATTCTCTATACAGATGCGATCGAAGAAACCGTCGCGGTGGAGGTGTCTGTATTTATTTATCATCAGATATTACACAACATTTTTTTGTTATTCCTCTTGACATTAGTGTCCCTAATATGGAATTATTAGGTTTAAAAATTTATTCTAGCTCTAATACTCTTCATTTAGTCTGTATTTATCGTCCCGGAGACCCTCAACTAGCTGAAGACACAATCCTTATTGAAAAACTTGAATATCTGTCTTCACTAGAAAATATTATTATTGGTGATTTCAATTTCCGAGATATTTCGTGGCCAGTTACTCTCACTCCAAGTGATGTAAATTCAAAAAATTTTTTGAACTTTGTTCTAAGCTCTAATTTACAACAACAACAACAACAACACGATTCCGAGTCAACAATATTCCTTCCACGCTAGATTTATTATTTGTAAATGATAAACAATATATCGGATCATGCAGTCATCATAAGTCGTATACAGTTTAACATAGAGAACCCATCTCACAAAGATCATACTACATCATATGAAATCATCGATTTCGATAACTTAAATCGTCATTTATCTACCATCGACTGGATAGAAACATTGGGTGACTCGGGAGATCCGGAAGAAATATGGAATAAGTTCGCAACCGTTATTGCTACTCATAAAATCCAATACTCTAAAAAGAAGGTGTTTTACAAAAATAAATTAAAACCGTGGATCAACGGAGAACTGATCCTTGATTAGACATAAAAGTAAATTATGGCTTAAATATAAGCTATCAAATAATATTGTCGATCTAGAATATCACAAAAATTTTCCAAGGACCTAAAGAAATTTATAAATAAGGCCCGAGAAGAATATGAAGAGTCAATAGCATGCGCAGGCAAAACTGTAAAATATATTAGATCTTCACTGTCATCAAAAGTATCCATTCCATTACTAAACAAAGAAGATGGAAGTACCTGCCAAAACAATTTTGAAACGGCTGAACTTTTAGCTAATACCTTTACAAAAGTGTTCACCAATGAACCTCCCCAGGATTAGTTACTAGATATCTCAACCGAAAGAATACCTTCTTAGAACGGCAGGCAGATTCCCATTTACAATTCGATATCGAAATACTCGATATCGTCAGTTTGGTAAATTCCGATTTGCGGGAAATCATATTCGCATCGACTTAAACGATTACGAGTCACTCGCCAGCTCTATGGTGCCGAATTGCTCGATTTCGGTAGATTATTGAGGTTATAGCATAGCACGTGGTTGTAGCCTTATAGAGAAAGAAACAGGTAAATTAAAGTTTGGCTTAAACTTATGTTGTACGAAAGTCCAATATCTCGTTGGTATGACCCAGTTACATAAAAACGTAATGCAGCAAAAATCTTTATGAAATTTGGCAGAGAATTGTTGTAGACTCTTTCTACAAGGTGGGGCTGTTTAGTATCAAATAGATACCTAGCGGCTTTTCTGTTCAATCTGTAAAATTCAATAAAGCTCTCTTCCGGAAGCTCAAATGAAATGCTGTGGTCCCTGAGTAGATGCCTTTGTGAAACCAGGGCTCTGTTTTACTCCCTGTATCTTATTCGTTGTATTCGGTTATTATTAAAAATTGGTAGCATACTTGCGTGGGTATTTATTATAATTCACTTTCGAACAAAAACAGTAATAAAAATAAATACCAAATACCGTTGATTTGTTTACATATATCAACTGTCAATTAAAACACGTATTGCGCATGCTCGCTATGCATACTACGGGTTTCGGAATCGACAAAAACGCAGGGCAACTCGATAGTGAATAGGAATAGCAAATTTCTCGATATCGTATTTGGTTGCGAGTATCGAAAGCGATTCGATTTCGCATTTGGCACTGATTTGGAATCCATATGCGGCTCAATTTTACTCCTGAAATTGTCAAACGTCACCTTTTAAAATTAAAAAACAACTCTCCGGTTCTAGATCAAATATCTTCTCTATTTTTAAAAAAAAGCTCTAATACCATATCAGTTCCTTTATCTATTATAATGTTTTTGTCTTTTAATACACACACATTACCCTCTATCTGGAAAACAGCTTCTGTAACACCCATTTTCAAGAAAGGAAACAAACTAGACTCTAATAACTACCGCCCAATCAGCCTCACACCCATAATCTGTAAAGTTATGGAATCCATAATAACAGAGCACGTTTCTCAGTTTCTCGGAAGAAATCATTCCCAAACAGCAACATGGATTTGTAAAAGGGCGATCAATTTGCTTTGGTGTGTAAATAAGTGGACAGTTTCATTAGGCAGGAAAAAACCTATAGACATTATTTACCTGGATTTTGCGAAAGCTTTTGATCGTGTGCCGAAACGAAGATTACTACATAAGTTAGAACACCTTGGTATGATTTACTTAAATGGATCGAGTCATTATTAACTGATAGAAAGTACTGTGTTAAAGTTGGAAATTCACATTCACTTGAAAGACCAGTCTTGAGTGGGGTTCCTCAGGGATCAGTTCTGGGTCCACTCTTATTTGTCATATATGCCAGTGACCTTCAATTCCATATCAAGTGCAATAATATTTTTTTACGCAGATGACACTAAAATATTTAGTGACCCGTCTTTAAACTTCCAACAGCTTCAAGATGACCTTGACTCCATCTATAACTGGTGCTCAGATTGGATGCTACCTCTAAATACAAATAAAAGTGCAGTTCTCCATATTGGTAAAAATAATCCTCGTCATAATTATTTTCTAAACGCTCATACGTTAAATAAAGTTAAATCTTACAATGATCTAGGTGTTATAATTACTGAAAATCTCAGCTGGTCTAAGCACGTTCTTATTAACTTATTAAAGAAAACATTCGCAAAAGTGTCTTTTCAAAATTCGATCCGGCTGTATAAATTATACATTCGTCCGATCATCGAGTACTGCGGAGCTGTGTGGTGTCCGGAACTAGTGCGGGATAAAAATATTCTTGAAAATGTGCAGCGCCGATCAACCAGACTATTTTTCGGACGTATGAGACCTAATTACGCAGAGAGACTACATATGGCTAAACTACAAACGTTTGAAAATCGCCGTCTGCGGGGTGATATGATAATTTGTTTTCGTATTTTAAAATATAATTTTGGAAATTTAAAATGTATGTTCATCGTGGACAGTGAAAATCGACTACGTGGCCATAAATGGAAGCTGAAAAAAGAACATTTTTTTACGAAAACGAGGTAAATTTTTTTATTTAATCGAATATTCTACACTTGGAATTCTCTACCGGAGAATGTTGTAAATTCTCCATCTGTCAATGTTTTCAAGAACGAACTTGATAATTTTTTTATTTTTTAATTAACATTTTATTTGTTTCATTGTTTATTCATCGGTTGTACCTGTTATTGATTTAGTTTTTAGTAAATTGTTTTATATTCAGTTAATAATATGGGCTTATGGGTCTTATGGCCCCTGCTCTTATCAAATTATAATAATAATAATAAAATAATAATATTTGTGACTTAACCGTATATCCCGATTTATCACATAATTTAGATATTTTAATACCATATTTTGAAGCTTTAGTAGGAATGTAATGTCCTGTTTCTACCTCTAAACGGACCATTGACTCATCTAGAGAAACTATTTCTGCAGGCTTCTTTAGATTTTTGTACTGTCTAGTCACAGCATCTACTAATAGGGCTTTATTTTGTACAAACGATCGCTAGTATCGTATGCCAAATTATCAGAAAAATGCAGAAATCTTAAGATGGACTGGAATCGATTACGGCTCATAGTATATCTTACCCAACAGTGCCGGTACAAGAATTTTCTGGACCAATAATCCGATATTTTTGGATACTTCACCGATCCCATGTACATTATTATTACAAGAAATTTGAGGATTTCCTCAGAATGTACGTTTTTCTAATTACGATTATACATCTGAGCGTTTATGTTAGTTTCTTCTATAATGAGTGTCAATATTTCATCAGTGATAATTTTTTTGTATATTTGAAATGTATATCAATATTTATCGTAGGGTGTAAGCAGTACAATAAAATATTTTTAATGTATCTCCTGTTACTAGATGCCATTTTGCTTGATAAAATATGCTTAAGTTTTTAAAAACAATTTTTATTACTTTTTCTTAAATAATTTCGTTATATTGCGGTTGGCAACACTGTTAGTTGATAGAAAGCGTTAAAAAGCTTCAGATAAATGAGAAAAACACCGCACTTAGGACACGATATTTTTTTAAAAAACACCATAAAAAATATTAAAGTATAAGCGGCAGTTCTGGTAAAAAAAAAATAAAATTAAAAGTGTCTATACTTATTTAATTTACATAAAATATATAACGGTAAATATTAAAACAACAATTATAATAACAATGTACAACGAAACTTTAAAATCACAATAAACTCAACATACTTAAATATATAATAAAATTAATTGTTTAAATATATGAATATTTAGGTACACAATAATTCATAATAAATATCGAATATATCACAGATGTTGGAAAAATTTAACTATTCTATTTGATTTTATGATAATAAAATAAACGATAAAATCGCAAGCAGCAGCATCGGCACAATCTTTGTAGGTGATATGTAAGAAGCTTTCCCGCATATTTTGATTTCACTTTCCTGTAACAAAACAATAGTATATTTTATTATGCGTCCACAAACACCGGAAGTCATCAAATATGGGAAAAGTATTTATGGACAAGTCATAAACGATATGAATCACAATGTACAATTACTTTTATTGCTTGTTGATATTGATTTATTCATACAGTTACAATGTAAAAACATTATACAGAGTGGAAAGTCTAACTGGAATAAACTCTGTAACTTGATAAATAAAGGTTTGTCGCAAAATTCCTGAAACACGTTAATTTTTATTTTCAATGGGGCATATTAAAAAGAGATTTGTTTATCTTTTAAATTATCTGGGGGGTTGCAGACACCCCCAACTTTTTTTTTAATGAAAGGGTAGGTTAATTAATTTTTTATTTGAAAGCTTTTTCAATTACAAATAGAATTACATTTTTGTTGTTAAAATGAAATAAGGAAAAATTTACTCAAACTACTTTAATGTAATAAATGTTCTAAATGCTCTCCACCTTGTTGCTGACAATATCCTAATCGATTATAAATAGCATTCCGAACATTTTGTAACACTTCCGGCGTTACTTGCCTAATTTCGTCCCTGATTCTTTGTTGAAGCTCGGCGATGTCGTTAGGTTTAGTGGCATAAACCTTGCTCTTTAGGTTCGTACATTTTGAGCAAAATGTGGTGGTGTCCCGTCTTGTTGAAACCACATCCGTTGGTCAAATAAGTTGGGATCCAAATTATTGGGGAATAAATTCGCTAAAGTAGGAATCAGTTCTTCTTGGAGCATAGTAAGGTATGTTTCTCCCGTTACGTTTCCATTAAAAAAAAGGACCTACTATGCGATCCCCAATAATTCCAGCTCAGACGTTTGTTTTTTGAGGCCGTTCACGCATCCAACGGGGATTTTCGTCAGCCCAATAACGGCAGTTCTGCCTATTGAGGTGTCCATGTAATGTGAACGTAGCTTCATCAAAAAACGGCACCCATTCCAAAGCAATTTGTCCACCATCGATAGAAGCCATAATTCGTTCGCAAAATTTGAGTCTATGATCAGGATCATCTTCGTTAAGCTCGTACATGTTTTGCATCTTATATGGGTGCTTTTTGGCTTCTTTAATAATTTTTAAAACGCTTGTGTGATTGACACCATGAACGCGAGCTATTTGCATAGCTGGAGTGACAGGATTTTCTTCAACTTCCAACAATATGTTCAACTAGGCTTCTTCGTCGTTTTTTAAAAGCTTTTGTTGAGGAGCTTCCCTTACGTGGCCCAACTCTCGATATCGAGTTTCAATTTTGACGTATTTCAGGAATTTTGCGACAAACCTTTATTTATCAAGTATATGCAATTTTTGTGGAAATGTGAAAATATAATCTCTAACTCTACTAACGAAATTAAGAAGTGTATCACTACATACCCAAATAAAAAAAAAATTAAAATGGCTGAGATATAAAAAAAGAACTTTTGACTATCCTGGACGCCTCTACCAACTGGACTACCGAAGCAATATTAGTAAGGTTTTATACGAAATTGACAGGTAAAATATAAATACACTATGGTACAAAATTGCTATTGGTATTATACAGTGATTGAGAAAATAAAAAATACACATTTGTAATAAAACTAATTTTAAATTTGAATTAAAAACCGATATTTTTGTTAAAGATTATTTATATACAGGGTGAGTCGGGAGGAACGGACTAAACTTTAAGCGTGCAATGTACACAGAAATAATGTACAAAACTCATGTTCTTATCCGATTTTTATTTTTTTTATAGGGTAAAGCAAAAGTTCATACTGTAATGTCTGTTTATTTTAAACAAGTTTATTTATTAATAATTTATATATATTTCAAATGTTTTTAAACTGTTCACTATTTATATTCACCACTGTTTATCTACAACTGACTGCTGCGTTGTTCCTCCACCAATATTTATATACAAATTTAAAATTCTGGTGTATTCCAGAATGCTCCTCCGCCAAACTAGAAACATCTCATTATATTTGGAATATACTAGAAAGCGCCTTCGCCATAGTCGTCACATATGTCTGGTCTTAAGGGGTTTAATTATGTACGATAATCGGACAAGTTGAGCCTTAAAGGCCTAATAAGACAGAGAGGGACTTGGAGGATTAGAGCATGACTGAATAATGAAATGGCTCACATTACAATACATTAATATTATTTTAATCATAGCGTTATGTCATTGAACTCTAAACATTTTCTGCTTCGTTTATGAAGAGTGCCTGTTGCTCTCTTAATTGATTCGTCTTTAATATCGGCAACAGTAATTTGAATACTTCAAATTAGTGCATCACGAGCAGTGGCGGCTTGTGGGGGGGTTCACAGTGACAAAATATAGGTATCAGTACAGATGTATGAAAAAACTTTCAGTGTTTTAGAAAGTTTATAATATACCTTTCTAAAACACTGACAGTTTTTTTACCTATATCTGTACCGGGATATATATTCTGCTACTATGAACCCCCAAAATTTTGTTGACGAGCCGCCCCTAATCACGAGTATCTACTTTTACAAATAAAAATCGGATAAGAACATATGAGTTTGTTTGCATTATTTCCATGTGTATAATACACTTCTGGAGTTTGGTCCGTTACTCCCAACTCACCATGTACTCTACTCTAACCTAAATCAGCAGGAAAAGTACCTAACTTTCTAAGCAACGTACTGGTCATTTAAAAAACAAACGAAATATAAATATTGTACATGTAGATATTTAGCTTTTCAGTGGGTCACCGGCTCGAAGGACCATATAGACATTTGATCCGGAGATGAACCATCGAAAAGCTACATTTTTATCAATAAAAAAATTAAAAGGGAGATTATATATCACAATGGCAATATAGGAATACTTTTTAAACCTTTTTTTATATATACAAGTAGTAATATGCCTTGTAAATATAAGTAGAAGCACATAATTACGACAGATCAGATTCTAACCCTCACCGGCACATACATGTTCTTTCCCCCCCCCCCCCTAGCTTTCTCAATTCTCTTTAAAGCCACCCTTGCAACTTCGTATAGAAAGACGCAAAGCTTAGCTTATACTAGAACACAGAACATATTCATTTGCCAGTGTTACGTTTTGGTTTACGAATGAACTGGCAAACGAATGAAAGATCTTAGAATTATCGTTTGGTTTGAAATTATAAATACTTAAGAGGTTACTTACATTGGCATTTCTATTTATACAACTCATGTATTGTCTTCTAGGAAAATCATTATACGCCGCTCTATAACACGCCAATGACATGTTGTAATCAACTTCCTCGGGGTCTGGCGTTTGTATAATGGTATTGGGTTCGCCCAGACAAACGCTATTTACAACCAGCAGCACCATGTTGCTTCCAGATATTTTTTGAACAATATACGGTCTGAAACAATCAATTAAAAATATACAAGAAGATGATAATTACTTAATAATAAAATAATTTTGATCGTATTGAGAAGTAAATGTTTTCAAACAAAAACAAATCGTTCTTTAAATTTTTTTTTCTCCATAATAGTCGCAGATAGAGAAAAAGTACAACAGATCGAAAAGTTTCTAAACAAAACAGAAAATACATCTTGTATTTTTGAATCACCCTGTATATTTTCATAACTATTTGGCATACCCAATAATGTAAGCTCTACAGCGTAACTCAAACTCGAGCTAGTCAGTTTTCATGAGAATTAAACGCCATTTTTTAATAATAGCTCCATTTAAACGATTATAGACTTCAAATAAATCAAAGTATGGCCACAATCTTAGATTATACAAACCTTAGATGGAACATAAGACACTGCGCATAATCCCATTTCGAAATTATTCACACCCACCAATCACAGTTGAGAACATCACGTCAGATCGTTGTCCATCCAAATTTAATATGTCAACGAGAATTAATTTGGTATTTTAGTGACTTAAATATTGGAAATTAACGTTGAAAATGCCAAGATGTGTTGTAAAAAGCTTTATTTATAATAAACCCGCGAAATGTGACGGAGATAAAAGAAACTTACATATATTTCGATGAGATATTTAATTTTTAAGGATTCTGTCGACGTCCATATTTGTTGATTTGAAAATAAACAGAATCGGACTTGGTCATTGGTACATGTTATAAGTAACAAATAAAGGTTATTATTGTAAACTGTTTACTATTTCTTATTTCATGGGGAATCTTTTTTTAGGAAGTGAAAAGAGAAACATACAATCAAATACAAAAATATCAAAATCATTGCCAATTTATTCGTTTCAAACTTCATAACTGGTTTTAATAATTTTCTGAAAACGATTTATTTAGTACTATCGCCACAAAATGGAGGGACCTGGCTTGCGGACCTTTTTTTGAGAAGTAATTTTTTTAAGTCACTAAGAGGAAGGAGGATATGATTTTGCTTAAGGACTTTTTTTTATTTTATTTTTTATGGATGAAATGGATTTGCGATAATTCTTGCAAGGAATCGTTGGAATAAATCAAAAATAAATTAACAACAAATGATGTTCTTGCGCATTTTCAGCCTCAGTTGCCGATTAAATTATTCGTAGATGCATCAAATGTGGGAATAAGGGCCATGATATGTCATGTTTTTGAAAAACATATTGAGAAATCTATAGTTTCTGCTTCGCGTACCTTATCAAAGTCCGAACAAAATATTCCCAAATTGAAAGAGAAGTCCTTGCAATAATTTTTGACTTAAATAAATTTAAGGAATATTTATATGGACATTTCTTTATCCTAGTTACAGATCACTTCCCAAATAACACACTGACGTCTTATGGACGTCTAAAAGACGTCCTTCAGGGACATACAGGACGTCTGAGGGACGTCCTCTTTTGGTACCGGGGCGTCAATCGGACGTCCTAATGTCCCGTTTACGTCCATCTTAGGGACGTCCCTGGGTCATCCCAAAAGGTCGTCATAGGGACCTTTGCGGGACGTCCTAGGGACGTAAATCAGACGTTCGGGGGACGATATTTGACCATAATCCACAAATGGTAATAATAACAAAAAGTTAACAATAAAAGGGCTTTATTTAACAACTTTTATACTGAAAAAGCTAGCTAGAGTTAAACGTTTTCAGTTAACAAAAAAAAACAGGAATGAATTAAATTTAACACACAGCGCTGGTAAGATGAAACCTTTGGTCCTACTTATAGCTTGTGTCGACATAACTGAGTTTTATAATTTTGTCAAAACTATTTTTGTTCCAACTTTCCGCCATTAAGGTCTTTTCTTTCCGCCAGCGGCTACCACCAATACATATCACTTATTCTCACCTCAACACAAAACGCAAACGCACTCACTTCACTTTATAACCTCTTTACCACCAACAACAAAAAAAATAACAAATAACATTATATTATAACCTTCTTTTTTCTTCGTTAATATAACTCACTTATATAAGGTAATTATTTAATGCCGAAAATTGTAGCTGTTGTTGTTCATTTGAAAATAAATGATAGGTTAGGTTTTCTGTCCTCATACTCTTGCAAAAACAAAACGATGAATTTCAAGTTATCGACTCAAAGACCAACGATGCTAGTATATAGAAAGTCCCAAAGACGTCCCATTAACGTCCTGGTCTCGGATCGAAAACTAAACGCTTTGTCGAAACGGGACCAAAATAGGACGTCCAGAGGACGTTCGTCAAAGGACGTCCTAGTGTTCACGATAATCGGAAGTCCAGTGGACGTACTATTTAGGTCCGGAACCAACCGGACCAACAAGGGACCATGGGACGTCCTGTGCTATCTGGGTTACACTTTTTACCCCCTCTAAATGTATACTCCAATTTTCAGCCAACAGACTACGTAGATGGGCAGTAATATTGTCAAATTACAATTATAATTGAATATGTGAAATCGGAGCATAATATAAAGCCGATTTTTTATCATGTTTACCTATTGAAAGTCAAAATAAAGAAAAATTTAAAATAATTTTTTTAAATTATGTGTTTTATGTGTTTAGGGCTCCGTAAAATATTTCGCTTTTCAAAAAGGTTCCGTCGCCAAAAAAGTTTGAGAAACACTGCTCTATAATAACCAAGTTGCATAAAGTAGAACATTATGCAACTGATTACGAAAAGTTGATTATGTCACCAGTTACGAAATGAAAATAAATAAAACTGCCTTTTTTTGGTTTTTAAGTTGAAAAATCGAGAAATCGAAAAATCGAGTAATCGAAAAATCTAAAAATTGCAAAATAAAAAATCGAAATATCGAAAAATCCAAAAAACGAAAAATTGAAAAAACCAAATATCGAAAAAAACGCAATGAAAGTGACATTTCACATTTGAAAATATGACATTACGTTTAACAAAAAAGAAAAGCTGTAGAATGCGTTTTATTTTTAAAATAACACCGTTATTGGAAATTGCCCAGAAATGTTGGGGGTAAAATTTTGACGTACTCCCTTAAGGATAATGGGTAAAAATGTTTTTTTTTTAAATTTCTCGGGGGTAATGTCAAAAATTAGATCGGCAACACTACACATGTCCCTTATTTTTATTATTACTATTAAAAAAAAAAAACGTAGGGCAATCAAATAACAACAATTTTCTAAAATATTTGATTGGAAGTACCTACAGAAGAATGATGATAAATCATTTTTCAACACAATTTTATAAATAATCAAGTCAAAAGTAGACAAAATCTTGTGTAAACACGTTACGAAATGTCGTTTTGTGTAACTCGTTCATTTTGCGGGACCTCGGTCTGCTCGTTCCGCAAATATTTACTCGTTACACAAAATATGGCATTTCGTAACTGGTTACATAAATAACTATTAATTGACTTCCTAATATTTTAATTCATTGAATGGTATTTTCCGTAAATAATTAAATCATAAATAATTACCGGCATATAAGTACCAAAACATTTTTTTCTTTTTGAAGAGTGGGCCTATGTCAAATAAACTTAAAATATTATAACGAATGAAAAGGTAACCCATTTCTAATAAAATTTAATTACTTATTTTATTTTGGTGTGATCATAGAAAAAATCTTGTGTGTAATTCGAGCAAAAAGTACTTTGGCTGTTTCGATAACTTTTTGTCTCAACAGCTATTTTGTTGCAATAATTTTATAAACTTTTACTTAGGGTCGATTTCACCGTTTTGTTAAACGAAGTTTAAAATACTAAACGAAGCTTAAAATGACATTTTTATATTAACAAAAACGAAGTTTAAATTATTAAATGAAGTTTAAATTATTACAACGGTAGAATCGGCCCTTAGCTAGTTATATATTGATAAAGTATTATTGCCCTCATCATACATGTCGTGCTAACAAAGTCAAAAAAACGTCTCATAATTTTTCATCTTTTAGTTACCCACCAAAATTAGGTACTACAATACAAATATTTAAGTCCGGCCCAGAACATCTCCCTACTCCTTCCACCCAGTTTTTCGGTTTTGGCAAAATTCGCGCAGCGACAAATGCTTCCTATGTTACCTCTACCCTTTCTAACTTCTTTGGCCACAATATAAAAAATAATACAGTAACGACAGTTTGAGTCGGCTTCTTTGATGTCAGAGTAGTCAGATTTTTTATTGACAGTTGACGTTTTTTTCCGCTTATTTCTACACTCAAGTAACTTCCAAAATATTTTGCCCCTTTTTATCTGTTTGAATAAAATATTACACAATAAATGAAAGATGAAAATTAAGTCCAAATATAATTAAAATGTATTAAAATGTGGAACCTTCATAAACAATGAACTGTCGCTGCTGTATTATTATTTATACTGGGGCATGACTCTAAGACGCCATTTTGTTTACACTTTTCCTTCAATCTTGGCATCGCTAAGTGCATCCATCCGTCATATCGCAAAATAATGTTGATGACGTCTTTACTTCATTCTATCTCGATGGTATAAACGCATTGACTTAAATATATCAAGTTATACCATACCTGGAACACTCCACCATGGTTTTGTTATAAGCGCTCGCACTCATGTCCCTATCCGAATAGTGAATGAGCGAATACAGCGCCATCTGGGTGTCGCAAGGTTCCGGTTTGGTTTTCTCGATCGCGAACTTCTGGACGAACTCCTTGTCGCTGAGCGGCATTTCGGATTCCTCGTAGTGATCGTGTTCGTGGTTGTGGGAAGCGTATTCGTGCTCGTCCATCACCTCGAAATGTTCTTCGTACTGTTCCGCCGGAAAAGATTCGAATTGGGTACCGAAAACGGTTTGGGTTAAGATGATCAGATAGCCCGTGAACCAATGGAATAAGTTTGTGAGGTGAACCAGAGGCTGGAAATTGAAAAAAAGGGTGTGTGCTTAAGACCTATGAACATATGCGTATTAAATTTGGACGTTTTCTAATATTCAACCAAATAATGTACTGATGATGGATCACGTGACCAATATATAACCGACTGCTGCAATCCTGAGTTTTATCTGATGAAAATTATTTAGGAACGACTGATATTTGTAATTTGGTAATCTTAACTGTCAACTGTCTTTATTTAATGAAAACAAACAATTCGAACACTTTTGATGAGCATAAAAACTAAAGACAAGTATGGGCAATACAATAATTGAAAAAATATGTATTTGCCTTCATTTGCTTGCTGTATATCTAACGCTAACAATTTTATTTTAAAAGTAAGCCCACACTTAGAGGTTGGTTTAGTAAAACGCAGTGAGTTTTTTTATTCATATTATTAAGAATTTTGAACGAACATTTCCTATTTTCTTATCTGTTTAATATTAATTAAAAATTTAAGGTTATGTCACGTGATCCATCAGTGCATCAACATAATTGAGTTGATGGATTTGGTGACAACCATCTGAGAATTAGGATGAATTTAAGAATTTGATGTATGACTCATCTAAAAATTTTTGATGAATAAAAGAACAGTTTTTATGATTACTAGATGACATCGATGAATATTAGAAAACGCCTTTTGTTGTAATTTACCAAAAAAATTATATTAATAAAGAATGAGGAGCGACACTCCGTGTCCCATCGCTTTCGACTACTATACGGGGCAAGAGAGAGGTCCGATACGCCCAACATAGGGCGCGGCCATTTTGAACCCTATGACACAGTTTATAGCTAAAGAATCAGATCGCTCACTCTGCGTCGGCACTTTTTATCTCAATGTTCCAGTTTATACACTGCGCAACTCAGATAATACAATATATGACAACCGCCTATAATAAAACAGCAGTCTTCTGCGTATCCTGAATTTGTATTCCTGGAATGGATGTTATTTTGGAACTTTCAACTGGTCCGAGTGAGCTAACTGATTCTTTAGCAATAAACTATGACTTCAAAAATAATATTCACTGACACTGACAGCAGCAAGCAAAATATCAGGTGCGTTTTAATAATCCGCTTCTGCTTCCGGAATTGTCGGTTTAGTCGTTTTAACCTGTCAGATTAAAACAAGAAAACCGACAATTCCGAAGCAGAAGCGGATTATTAAAACGCACCTATTAAAAATATTGCGTCAAGATGTAGGCACCACGTAATAAGGGTTCAAAATGGCGGAGTTTTCTATCTCCTTTTAAAAGGCACTCAGAAAGCTGCGCAGTGCGACCATTCTCCGTATAGTAAAAGAAAATCAAAATATGTGCTTTCGATATATAGTTTTCTACAATCGATTTCTACTGTAGAATTCTATAAACGCTTTGCCGGTACTCTGTGTGACAGTCGATTCATGGATGTCAAAACATCGGACATTCTCGGAGGTTTACTAACCGATATAAAAATGTTTGCTTGAAATATAGAGATTTGTTACTTTTTGTCAAGTATGTCAATTTCTGACAGATAAGTTCCGCTTTGGTTTTAATTTTAAGTTTGTATTATCTAGTTTTTGCTTTGATTTGTAATAATGGTCCCTTTGTTTGTGGCCAATATATTAGCTGTTAAAGAGGAGGAACTACTATAACATCTTCGTTTGGAAAATATAGATAGGCGAGTAATGAGAGAGACAAGCGATCCATTCTCTATAGAAAATGTAAGATTATAGAGTTATTTCGATTAAATAAAGATATGTCCCAGTATATATTAAATGGAATTACGTCGAGAGCTAAAGAGGAAATACGGCCATTATAAACACCTTCTCAGGGGAACGGATTCGGTTTCCTAGAACTCTACAGGAAAAACAACAAATTTAGTTGATGTTTTATAGAAGCAAGAAATTTTCCCGGGATAATTGGAGCAGTAGATTGTACCCATGTTGAAATCCTGCGACCAAATGAAGAGAAAAATAAGTGAATTGGTTTTTTTTGGAAAAGGGCACATCTAACATTTAATTTATTTGTTATCTTTTTCAAACTTATTTACAATAAAAGATTAAAAATAAAAATCTGATACATTAATTATTAAACATAGTTTTACAATGACATTATTAAGTAAGTTTGGAGACCTATGTCGGCCAGTCAAGTATCATACTGTAAAATTATTTGTTTTATTGAGGAATATCCTGGATTAAGGATTTCAAATTATTACTTTTTTTATACTGATGCTGTGGATGTATGTGCCTCTTCAACAGGAAGATTCACCTTGGACCTAGCAGATTTTGCTGGTAAAAAAATATGGCAGAATAAACCTATTATAATGTTTACACCACACACCACAATAAAAAATTCACTTGATTAAACAACAAAGCTAATGGCTTTACCGTAATTCTTATTTTTACGTTTGTTACTTTTTTTCATTTGAAATTAGATCCAATGCCATAATGTTTTAAAATCAAAACAAAAATGTATGACGGTTTGCCTACTTTAGTAGAAAACTATATGTCTTGACGTCTCGCTTCGTGGCGATAGTTACAGTCGACTCCTGGCGATTATTTGGAGACACAGAGTGCCAATCGATAGAATTGAAGCGACCGGTAGAATTCTATATGACACGGAGTCCCTGTGCAGATTAGTTTTGGCCTATAAAAATGTCCAGGGGGTCAATTCTCGACTCGTAGGAATGTTTTCCTATAGGAATTTTTGACATTTTTATATACATCGAAAATTTATGACATTTTCCTACATATAGGAAAGTGTCACAAATTCCTATAGGAAAAGGTTCCTACAAGTCGAGAATTGACCCCCAGGAGATGTTTGGTTTGACATGTATGTCAAGCTGTAAATTAAAAAAAAAGCAGAACACATTTTTTTATATTAAAAGGAGTGCATTTAAAGAGTTTGGGTTTCGCACGCTTTTAAACTACGTTTCATTGTTGATGAAGACCATAACGGTAACAAATTATACTCAAATAAAAGACAAATTTTACAAAAAAAAATTGTCGATAATAAATACAAATACGAATAGCTCTGTTCCAACAACAATCAGAAACAAAACACAAACTACTGCTTATTGCGTAGTATATAATTTGGTAGTATATATTCTTCGAGCATAAATATATATGCTCGAAGAATCTACTGCGCAGAATCCTAACGTCAGTGACTCCTTTATAATCGTTATTGATGTAAATATCGACCCAATGCACGACGCTTTTTGCTGAATTGTCAATGAGACTAGAGATGTGCGATTCGATACGATATTTGACAGTATCGATATTCAGGAGTTGGAAACTCGATATTTTGTATCGATATTCTACGACTTAAAAATATCCCGTATCGATACATGTATATGTTAAATCGTATCGAAAATAAAACAACACTTATGCATCACTAATTATGAATTTAAACTGTCATATATGGATATAAGATATTAAACATTGGTTGAAATACTGTATATATTTTTTAATTATATCTTAAAATCTATTAATGCTTCCGTATATGATTATTTTACATTAATATTTTAAAATTAATTTACTTGTACCATATACAATAGTATACAATATCGATATTTTGAGATCGATACCTGTGCTTACGATATTAAAGTGTATCGATACATTAAAATTCGATCTGAATCGATACGCAGTATCGATACTTTTCTATGTATCGAACATCTCTAAATGAGACTAAGCTGTCTACTATTTCGCTGCCAGGGCTGCCAGATTCAGTACGTTTGTATTGAATTTAGTACTTTTTCAGTACGTCAGTGTTGCGTTGTTACTTTTAACAGGGCCGACTAGAGGGGGGCAGCCGGGACTAATTCCCGGGGCCCGGACTCAAATGGGGGACCGGCAGCGGTATAAGGGGGGCCCGGCAACCGCGGCGTGAATTTTTGTTTTCTTTGAGAAGTTCGGCACGAGACAAGAGGGGAAAGTTTTTGGTTGGGGACTTTTTTTTTTAGAAAATTCAATTCAAATAGGGGAGGACAAGTTTTTGCTTAAAGACCTTTTTTTTAGAAAATTTAATTCAAGCAGAGGAGGAAAAGTTTTTGTTTTTTTGCAGAGAAATTTAAGTAAGAGGAGAGAATAGTTTTTCTTTGTCACGGGTCCCGATCTAGAGAATTGTCCTGGGGTCTGGCATGGCTCTCGGCGGCCCTGAGTTTTAATACGATTTTGTTAAAAATAATCAATTCAGTACCATTTTCAGTACTATTTGCATATTTTTCGAACAATGTGATGTATTTTATTAAAGATGGATGACAGTAGACAGTTAAGTCTGTAAGGGGTTTTCTCGCCACAGAGAAAACTATTCCTTACGAATGACGCTGGTTACGGGCGGTTCTCGAGCGCCAGATTTTTTGTGATGGTTTACTTCACGAACTTTCGAAACTGCGTCGAAAGTACTCGGGTAGCTACAGATGGAGATGAAAAATTCCAGGGATCAAAGGTCACTTAGACACAGGTAATAGTAGGCCACAAGTAACGGGCTTTAATCGTTGCTTGGGCTGGTACAAAATTAATCACTAGCTGAAATATAAGGGGGAAATAAATTTAGGAATTAACAACCAGTAATACGGCCAGTTAACATTGACACATATTATTATTTACAAAAGAAAAGGAATAAATTCATGTATTTCAACGCCCATCCTCACGGTAATATGTACAAACCCTGAACAAAAATAAACAAACAAAACGGACGGAAATGACTTTCGAGTAGTCTCAATCAGACGTAAAGAAAAAATGAAATCAATACTTGTAATTATCACGGTCGCAATAAAGTTTATTATTGAATTGTCTATTCTGTTGTTGAGTTAAAAATGTAACTTGCTATTTCGTTCGGAAGTATTATTTCGGTCGTAGCAAAAATTAACTGTTAAATTGTCTAATCGGTATTTACAATCAAATGTAATTGAATGCTTCGGTGAAGCAAAATATCATATGTGGTTGCAGAGAATGCGAGGAGACAGGTTCGGGACAATACTAATTCCAGGGCTGAAACGGGGACTCTGTAAGAGGTTTACTCACTAGTGGTTGGAAAATAAAACCAACTAACAACCGGGATAGTACATTATCTCTGAATGAAGCGATCGTAATCACGAGCCGCTTCAAACTTGGGAATGATACTATTTAATGTCAATTAAATAACGGAGTTTTACATAAAATAAATTTAATAACCGGGATAGCACGTTACCTCTGAATGAAATGATCGTAATCACGAGCCGCTTCAGACAGGGGAATGATACTATTTGAGATCACTTACAATAACGGAGACTAACGCAAATGAGGGTTTCAGACGGAAAATAAACTAATAACCGGGATAGCACATTATCTCTGAATGAGGCGATCGTGATCACGAGCCGCTTCAGACAGGGAATGATGCTATTTAAATTCTCTTAAAATTTGCAGTTCGGAGGATAAAACAAAAGAAAATGTCTTGTCGCAATTCTACAAATATAACCAATCAAAACATTAGACTATTCCCAAACAGTTCCAATCAATTATTTATTGGATAATGTTTTTAATAAACTGTATTATTTGTTCACGGAAATTTCCCGTAGGAGGAAAAATTAACTATAGGACTATATTTACGATTAAATGAAAAATAAATTATTTAACGGATAAGACTTCAAATAAACTAAAATGAAATTTTTAATTTATTCACATAAATTTCCAGTAGTAGAATAAATTAACTATATGACTATATTTACAATCAAATGAAAAATAAATTATCTAACGGTTAGAACTTTAAATAAACTAAAATGAAATTTATTATTTATTCGCGGAAATTTCCAGTAGTAGCAAAAATTAACTATACGACTATATTTACGATTAAATGAAAAATAAATTATTTAACGGTTAAGACTTCAAATAAACTAAAATGAAATTGATAATTTATTCACATACATTTCCAGTAATAGGAAAAATTAACTATACGACTATATTTACAATCAAATGAAAAATAAATTAATTAACGGTAAGAACTTTAAATAAACTAAAATGAAATTTATTATTTATTAGCGGAAATTTCTAGTAGTAGGAAAAATTAACTATACGACTATATTTACGATTAAATGAAAAATAAATTATTTAACGGTTGAAACTTTAAATAAGCTAAAATGAAATTTATAAAGAACGGTATATTCTAACAAGAACAAATTAAACTATTTCTTAATCAAAACAAATTTCAATACTTAACACGGAATATTGTTAATTAAAAATAAATCAAATTAAATCGCTTTCAAATAACACGGCTTAAAGTCTCGGGCAAGAAAAAAAATTATAAAAACAATGACAACAATTTACCTTTCGGTAAAATCGCGGCTAGAAATGAATTTTGGAAATGTATCGTATTAATTATTCGACTATTCGATTTCACGGTGTAAACGCAAGTCTGTTCGATAAATCGGTATATTAGGAACTCAAATTTCAATTAGACATGGGTAACGCAGCGCTGCGTTGCGTTATTGCGTTAACGCAGTTGTATGCGTTACGAGCGTTGATACACCAGTCGAAAGGATCGCGAGTTGTTGGTGCGCCAGGCACTGATTCCGTTTTCCGTGACGAGTTGAGAATTTTAATTTACGTAATTGATGCAACTCGTAATGCAGATTACCCAAAATATATCAAGTAATTATGTTCTTTGCAACATGTCACATCCTTTGTAGGATTGTAGGTCGAATTTTATGAATTTTAATCTTGTACACTGTCAATTTTTAGTTCTTCCCAATTTGATTGGCTACTATAGTATACAAAATTTATATCCTTTTTATATAAATTGGAATTTTTGTATTTTTTGTAAAATCCGAACACAATGAAATAAAAAAATGAGTGCATTACACTGTTATATTTTCGTATAATAAAAAAATTTAGTTAAATTCCCAATTGCGTTATTGCCTTGAACACGGTTTGACTCTTATAAAAGGACAGCCCGCGCCTTTTTATTTTTCTATGGCCCGCGCTGAATAACACCGGTATCATGCGATACACCGAGGTCACAGAAGGTTATTCTGTGCCGAGGTGCATCGACTTCATTCGGCGCAGGCAGTGGTGTGACGCAATAACGCAATTGCGTTAACGCAATGAGTTGGCGCAATAGAGTGCGCCGGAGTTAGTGTATCAACGCAAAGAATTTTAGTGCGTTACCCATGTCTAATTTCAATTCAATCTCGGAGCTCGCTCAGTCGTCACGTGCCCTTCCACTACCAGCAAATCCCACCATTAAAACTCGCGCAGGCAGAGTACCTCGACGATGGTTTGAACAGTGATAAACCTGATGATATACAGGGCATATCCACGAAGTTAAAATTAAGTAAAAATCGAAATTAATACCCAGAATTAGTTAAAAAAAATAATGAAAATAGACTTCATTACAAGTCATGTGATGAGTCAAATAATTTATTTGAAATTGAAATATATTGCACATTTGTTGATTGTAATTCTAAAAGTAAAGTGGATTGAGACGTTTTTTGTTATACATAAAGATTATATAATTTAATAAAAGTAAACCACAAGAAAATCATTTTTATTTCACTTTCACCTAGTCCATTTGTTCCTATAGAGTAAAATTTTTGTAAATGTTTCAAATTTTTTCGATAAAAATTATTTATTAGTTAATGAATTTAGGACCGATTCCACCGTTGTGTTAAACGGAGATTAAACTGACATTGTTAATGTAAAAATGTCACTTTAAACTTCGTTTAACACAACGGTGGAATCGGTCCTTAAAGCTTCAGTCATTTTTAAGGTGTTGTTCGATTTATGTTGGTACATTTTCATAAAATATAGTTTTTTAAAGTTGGTAATTCAGTACGTTTTTTTTTTTTTTTTGAAATTCAGTACGTTTTATAAAGGTTTTTCAGTAATTTGTAATTTTCAATCTGACAGCCCTGTTCGATGCGCTGCCATACTTCGCTTGACTCCACATACTTTGATTTTCTTTTACTATACGGAGAATGGTCGCACTGCGCAGCTTTCTGAGTGTCTTTTAAAAGGAGATAGAAAACTCCGCCATTTTGAACCCTTATTACGTGTTGCCTACATCTTGGCGCAATATTTTTAATAGGTGCGTTTTAATCATCCGCTTTTGCTTCGGAATTGTCGGTTTTTTTGTTTTAATCTGACAGGTTAAAACGACTAAACCGACAATTCCGGAAGCAGAAGCGGATGATTAAAACGCACCTGATATTTTGCTTGCTGCTGTCAGTGTCAGTGAATATTATTTTTGAAGTCACAGTTTATTGCTAAAGAATTAGTTAGCTCACTCGGACCAGTTGAAAGTTCCAAAATAACATCCACTCCAGGGATACAAATTCAGGATACGCAGAAGACTGCTGTTTTATTATAGGCGGTTGTCATATATTGTATTATCTGAGTTGCACAGTGTATAAACTGAAACATTGAGATCCAAAGTGCCGACGCAGAGTGAGCGATCTGATTCTTTAGCTGTAAACTGTGTCACAGGGTTCAAAATGGCCGCGCCCTATGTTGGGCGTGTCGGACCTCTCTCTTGCCTCGTATAGTAATCAAAGTATGTGCTTGACTCACATACTTTGATTTTCTCTTACTATACGGAGAATAGTCGCACTGCGAAGCTTTTTAAGTGCCTTTTAAAAGGAGATAGAAAACTCCGCCATTTTGATGCCTTATTACGTGTTGCCTACATCTTGGCGCAATATTTTTAATAGGTGCGTTTTAATCATCCGCTTCTGCTTCGGAATTGTCGGTTTTCTTGTTTTAAAACGACTAAACCGACAATTCCGGAAGCAGAAGCGGATGATTAAAACGCACCTGATATTTTGCTTGCTTCTGTCAGTGTCAGTGAATATTATTTTTGGAGTCACAGCTAAAGAATCAGTTAGCTCACTCGGACCAGTTGAAAGTTCCAAAATAACATCCATTCCAGGGATACAAATTCAGGATGCGCAAAAGACTGCTGTTTTATTATAGGCGGTTGTCATATATTGTATTATTCGAGTTGCGCAGTGTATAAACTGGATTATTGAGATCAATAGTGGACGCAGAGTAAGCGAACTGATTATTTAGCTATAAACTGTGGTAAAGGCATCAAAATGACCGCGCCCTATGTTGGGCGTGTCGGACCTCTCTCTTGCACCGTATAGTAATCAAAGTATGTGGCTTGACTGAAATCGACTCCTCAAAAGTCGAATGAGAATTACATAGCTGAGCGTAACGGCTAAGTCTCATCCACAGCCCAGGAAAAAAGTTGTGCAAAGCGCGCCAAAATAATTTCTCACTTCAAAACCCATACTGTTGCTTTTTACTTACCGACAGTAGCCTTGAAGCAGGACTTTCAGACTCCTGACCCTCGGCACATAAACCCTGGTAGTCGTACATGACGGTAGCTTTGTAAATTCTCTCGTCGAGTAGTTGATTCATGACGTCCGGCATGATTTTTCCAAAAAAGAAACCAGTTTCCTTTGGATCGTCACTGACGACTACGTAACCATTATCGTCAAGAACTAGACAATGAAGTTCTTGAGAAGCGCACGTTCTTGTACATGGTATGTTTCCGCACTAAAAAAAATGTGAATATAAAAAATTTGATATTATATAATAGGCTTAAATTTTTCTTGGGTATAGCAACAGAAAGAAGACTATTCATATGAAGCGATAATGAGAGAAAGCAGATGAAAGCGTTGCAAATCCGGTATCATGTGTCGACTGCGACACGCAAACAGAGTTGGATTAAGGCATTACTCTTTATAAATATCTTGTAAACTGAACTGTAAATAATACAAGTAGTAAATATGTAAATAATATAGTATGTATGAGAAAATGATTACTTACATTGCTTGTAATTTGGGTAAATAAATTCTGCAAAGCCCCATGGAAGAATTGGTAACCAACGACAGCAACTGGGGCTTTTTCCTTCTTCTTTTCTTCTTCTTTAAATACAGCTCTGCTAACGGTGACCAAGCTGTGACTGGAGTTTCCTTAAAAACAAATATTTTACATGAAACCTCAATAGTCTTAAAGTGTGATATCGATATTTACCTATATAGTGTGGAACTGCGTAGATAAAATCGCCAGGATCAACGTAATGATGATCCACGGCTCTTCTGTACCACACCTCATCGATGGCTTTATTATGGAGAACATTGAAGTTCCTAAAAGTGATTAATTATTTAAAAAAGGAAATAGTTCCAACTCAAATGTGACCAAGACGTAAAATAAAATAAAAATAAATATCAAAGCCAGCGTCATATAATTCCAGCGGTCATTTTTCTCAGAAAAACAACTTCTCTTTTGGTTTATACCGCAACAGGGATTGAATTATATCCCCCTGATCTATGATTGTATCCAAAGGAAAACAGCAGAGATATAATTTGGCTTACCAAGCAGAATGTCATTCTTAGACCGGCATCGTCCTTAGAACTCATCAGCAAGGAATAGACATTCTCGATTCCAATCTCTAATGGTGATATAAGGCATGTTGCGCTTTGAGATTTATTTTCATTTTATTTTGATTAATTATTTGTTTTACAGTGATTCAATAATATAACTTAGTTCTATATTGTAAGTAGTGATGTTAGAATATGGAGAATGAATTGTGATTAAAATGGCCGGAAAAGAAAAAATCATCGATATTATGATCGATTTTATATTTTATAATACAGGTCAAAAAATTATTATAATTTTTTATACATTGATATTTGACTTACGGTTCAGTTTCAGGTGTTTCTATGTTCTGCGGGAAATTCTGCCATCTAGTGAGACCGCTGTGAGTTGCCATAAAGGCGACAACTATTCCGATTTTTTTTACCAATTCCGCTCTGCATGAAAAAGAATTATTACATGAGCACTTGCAACATCTGCACAACTCGAAAAAATCTAATATTTCCTTGAACTCATATCCGTTATGTCCGCCGTTCCTAAATAAATAAAATAAAATGACCACAAAAATAAAGATAAAATATAATAATAATGTTGATGATAATTAAAAAGGGTTTTTATACCAATTGAGAACGAATTTTTTATACCAGGTCTAGACCAAGTAGAAAAAAGAAACCAATAAGTACTGTGACAAAAAAAAATAATATTTGAAACAAGACAAAATTGAACATTGTACTACATAAAGACAAAGCTGCAACAAAGTTCATTTACGGCCAAGTAGTTTTTTAATAACCATGTTGTGCGAAATATTTTTGGTCACTTTTTAAAAAGCACTTTTATTAAAATATACAATAATTACAATTACTAAATAATTAGAAATCTCTTACATGGAATGGTACCTAAATTTATATTAAAACATATGCCGACTATTATTTAATAGAATCGCAATTTTGGGACAATCAGCAATAATAAACTTAAATTTAAATTGCATTTTTGTTCTCGGATATGGGTTCATCGACTCGTAACTTCTCCATCCCCCGAAGAAGTTTTTGAGAGATGAACAAAATTTTGGACTCGGCATTCTGTGTTCTGATTTATTCTTCCTTAGTGTGGATTTTGCATCCATCCTATTAAGAATCATAAGATAGTAGATTGGATTTGTTCAGCAGTGGTTGTTTCCTGTGTTCCATTTCTGGATTGGGTTGTCCTTGAGGTTCTTGATTTTGACTTTTTGTCCCATGGCGAAGGTACATCTGCAATATATTTTCTTTATCCGGATTATGTTTGATATTCCTTTTGTGAATTGTGGCTTTTTTGGGTTTTATTTGTAATAGGATTATTGGATTCGATGATTTTAGGAAAATATCTCTGAAGGAGTTTATTTCTTCTTACTATTTTCCTTGACTGTTTATTTCTTTATATCTTTCTTTGATTTTCTTCCTGTTGCCTTGAGTGTAGTTATTTAGTAAAGTTCGTTTAATATCGATTTTGAATGGATCTTTTGCTTCTAAGAACGTCTATAGATTTTAGTTGTGTCCCAAAATGTATGGAGATGTTTCAGAATAGTGGAGTGAAAGCGTTCTATCATTCCATTAGACTGTGGGCCATATAAAGTTATAACAGAACAAATAAAAAAGCCGGAAATGGCAGGTCGATTCATATCTATACCGACGGTTCTAAAACAAAACAAGGGCAGGATGTGGAATATACTCTAAATCCTTAAACCTTAACATAAAATGGGCTGTGAGCAATAGTGCCAGTGTAGTTCAAACAGAGCTAACGGGGATTCTCATAGCAGCAAAAGAAATAACCAGAAGCAATATCACTAGAAGGAACATGCTCATTTATACGGGTAGCAGACAAGCACTACTCATCCTGAACAGACTACGAATTTACTCAGGATTAGTACTAGAATGTCGCGAAGTTGTGGCCGAAGTATCCATCAACAATGTGGTCACCTTAAGATGGATCAAAGGCCACGCCACATCAAAAGGTAACCGTCTTGCTGATGATTCACTGGCCAAGAAGGCAGCCAACCAAATACTTTTTGGACCTGGCCCTTCTATTGGCCTAACAAAATCGGTAGTGACACACCAAATTAAAGAATATTCCCTTGTGAAATTTAAGAAAAGATGGGATGAAACAAGAAACTGCAGAGTTGTCAGTTTAAGTTATCTTGACAATAGTACAGCAAAGAAATACTTGACTATGATAAGACAGAATCTGCGCCTGGTCACAGGCATTCTGACAGGTCATTGCCAAGTACGGAAGCATCTCGATTTCATGGGGCTGTCAGAATCCGCACTCTGCAGGGGGTACGAACAAGAAGATAAGACCATCGAGCATATCCTCTAAGATTGCTGGCCGTTCTAATTTATTAAAAGAGAAGTACCTCTTGGCGACGTTGTCAACTACATTAAATATGTAGACTAGCTCACGAGCTAGGAGGTGCCTATCATCTTAGAAGGCCTACTGAGGCCTAAGTGTCATGGAGTAACCCACCTTCAACACGTTACAAATACAGAGATACACTGTGGGCTATTTGGAGTAGTATAGTGGATAGAAATTGTATGCATGTCCACAACATTTTTGCATTAGTCCATTTTTCAACTCGGTACCGCTATCTGCGACTATCAGTTGTGGAATTCCATGATGTGTGATGAAAATAAGGAGAAGAGAAGGTATCCATGACTGTCAGGAATTTTAGCCCTGGCTTGAAATACGTTCAGATTTATTATTTCTATGGGCTTGGATGGAGTAGGCGTTAACATCAATTTAGGTTTTGGTGGCTTTCAGTCATATTTGTTAACCTGGCAAGTGTCGCATGGGTTGATAGTCTCATCTATATATGTTTTAATAGTTGGCCATTAGTAGAATCTTCGTACTTCTGCTTCTATTTTATTTATTTCTCTGTGGTTGGTTTTGCCTTCATAATATTTCGATGTTATTTATTTTTGCCTATCATTTGAGATGGCATCTTCTAATAGGATGTTACTAGGGTTACTACCTGTCCTTTTTTGAAAAGGACAGTCCTTTTTTTGAAGCAAAATGTCCTTATACGTTTTAAAGCTTAAAATATCCTTTTTACCTCAAATATCCTCTTTTACGAGAAATATCTTTTTCTACGACAAATGTTTTGACTGACAGCATATATTTCTGGAAGAAATAAGGTTTGTACAAAAATATATAAGCTGAGGACTTTGTTTTTTTTTGTTTCTTTTTTTTTGTTTTTTGAAGCTCGGCATGACGGGGAGGATTTGTTTCGTTCAGCTCGAGACGACCTTTTTTTTTAGAAGCTCGATAAGACGAGGAGGATTTCTTTCGTTCAGCTCGTCAACTTTTTTTTTAGTTCACTAGAAAAATGAGGACTTTTATATATCAGAGTCCCTATCAGCATCGTAGTCCTTTTTTCACTTTTTAAAAAGGTGGCAAACCTAGATGTTACACTAAACAAAGTTGTATGAATAGTTTTTGTAAGTTTTTCTTATTGTGTTGCATAATATGTATAGGTGTTCTTCTTCGAAAAATAAGGCGTATTTTCTTTTATGATCCAGGAAATATTTGACAAATTTGAAAATACCATCTTTAAAATTATCTTTTCCAAATCGAGTATGAAATCTTTTCTTGCTTATAAATAAATATTTCTTTTGTTACAGGTAGAGCTGGGTTATAATTACGTTCTTTCGTTTGCCCCATTGGTGTAGGAATGAACTACACCTCTCGGTTGGTAGTGTGGTGTCCACTGTTGATATTTTCCCCACTAGCTATTTAGCAGGAGTGACTTACACTCGACTGTGTATAAGAAATAAGGAGGGAAGTAAACTAGGTAAATAAGATGGTATAATTGACACTAGTGGGCACTCCACCAACAGCAAAAGAAAAAACCTATGGACTACTCGGAGGACTATTCGGTTATTGTAGTAATTTAATGCTCGCTCGCTTATGGGTATTCTTCTATAGCAGTATGTCTGGTTATGTCGCATTTTTTATCCTGTTGTTCCTGGAATAGTTCTTTAACGATATCTCATTTTCCTGGGTTTAATTCTCCGAGTGGATTATTTATATCTTCTAGTGGGTCATACGTCAATCCAGAGTAGTTATAAAGGGATAGTTCATTGAAATCTTTTGATGTGGCTTCTTGAAGACTTTCTTCGGAGTTATGTGTCTCCTTGTTGTATATCTCTATTCTGGATATAGCGTTTGCGTTCCTGTTGAATTTGCTCTTTTTATAAATTTCTTCCTAATCGAGTTCTTCCAATTTTAGACGCCATCTTACGAGCTTAGAGTTTGGATCTTTTAAGGAGAAAAGCCATTGCAGAAGGCGGTAATCTGATAGGCTTTTGAATTATCTTCCAAACAGATATGGGCGGAAGTATTTCGTAGTCCAAACCATTGCCAACATTTCCTTTTCATTGGTTGAATATTTAAATTACCTCTCGTTTAATTCCCTGGAGGCATAGGCAATGGGTTTGTCATTACCCTTGTGATAATACAGCATCAATTGGAAGGTTGCTTGCATCCGTTGTTAAGTGAAATAGTATGAAGAAGTTTGGATAATGTAGAAGATGTTTATTTGTAAGAAGGTTCTTGCAGGTGTTTACACATTCCAAAAATTCTGGTGTGTGCTGGATCTTAGCATCTTTCTTGAGGCATTACGTCACTATCTCATCAATCCAAGGAAGCCTCTAATATCTTTTGCTATCTTTGGTACGGGATAATCCATTAAGGCTTTGATTTTGTTTGGATTGGGTTTTATTCCATCTGGAGTAATGACATGTCCTAAGAAGCCAAGTTCTTTCTTCAAAAATTCACCTTTATCTACTTTAAACCCAGTTTTTCGTAGTCGTTGGAATATTCTCGAAAGATTTGTCATATGTTCATTCAGTGAGAGAGAGAAGACTATTATATCGTCCATGTATACCAGGTATAGTTCTCCTTGAAGACCATAACGGAAGGTATAGATTAACGTTGAAGAGAAAAATCCTGCACAGTGGCAATGCCAAAAGGACCTAAACGTGTATCTTGACTATTATTGGTCGGATTTAATCGAGGAAAACGACATTATGTAGAGAACGTGATATAGATTAACGTTGAATAGAAAAATCCTGCGCAGTAGCAATGCCAAAAATACCTAAGCATGTATCTCGGCTATTATTAGTCGGATTTGAACAGGGAAAACGGGAGAGTGGGGGAAATTACCGATGAAGAGAAAAATTATGTGCAGTGGCTGTATATCTAGGCTATTATTGGTCAGAATTAAACAGGGAGTGGAGGATACCAAAGCCAAAAAAGACATTAACATTACGGAAAGAAATCAGCAACCTAAATCTAAAAACCAATGTAAATATGATCATCCTAAAGAAGTACTCGTATTATTAGATTAATATTTTTTACATGTATACAATTTATTATATTTTTATTCAATAAATTACATTCATATATGAAACCACGTTGCAGGAGCATTCTTAAGTCCAAATGGCATTCGGGCGTATTCGAAATGGCCGTTTTCGACGTTGAAGACTAATTTCTGCAAATCTTCCTTTGCCATTTCAATTTGATGAAATTCGCTCGCTAGATCAAGAGTCAAGAAATATTGACATTGTCCAAGTTTGTCTAGGATATCTGTTATATTCGGGATCGAATATTTATTATTTGTTTTATCATTAATCTTCCTATAATCGACGACGATACTCCACTTGATTTAATGCGTCGGGTTTTTGGGGAATAACCCAGATTTGCGTAGACCATGGAGATTAGCTAGGTATGATGTCTGTTGATTAGTTGGTTGCATCGATGGTTTTGTTTCTTTCCTGTTTGCTTTTCGTAGTATTTACTTACACACACTTATGCGGAAGGTATTCGTTGACCGATACTGTATGTGCTTCCAACATTCTTTTGTAGGTATATTTTGTTCTATGTTGTGCTTTTAACGGAAATCCCACCTTTATTCTTTACTCTTTCAATATAAAAAGAGGAATTCTCATCTTTCGATGCGATACCTGTCGAGGCGCCTATCTTCGTTCGACAGACTGCGATTTAATGTAATGTCTCTCCCTATTCGTACTCTATTTGACACGTTACGTGTCGAGTGCGCACATAAGAATCCCTGTGCTGATTAATTTTCTAACCAATCAAAATTTCATAAATGCATGTCGTTATAGGATGTTGCATATGTCACTTCACCACTTGTTGCATAGAACACTATTTACGCCATATTAGTGTGTCGAACAGAAACAGTTTTTAATTTTGACCTATATCTACGTTATTTGTTGCAGAATTGATTACAAATCGATTATTTAACTAGGATTATAACCTAAAACCTAACAATAGGGTCTATTCTGTAACAATTCCTTTATATTTAACGGCCTTTAAAAATATTGGCGGCCTTTAAAAGTATATTTGTATTCGTTAATTTACTTCTGTCATTATTTAAACAGATTTCTTTAATATAGTCCTCTAATGTATTTTAAAGATCCGTTTAAATAATGACAGAAGTAAAGAAGAAAATATTTTTAAAGGCCGTTAAATATAAAGGAATTGTTACAGAATAGACCCCAATATCATTTAAATAATAGTCAATAAAATAAACCATTCAAAAACTAGATATTCAGTCCAAAAACTTAGTTTGGCACAAAAATTACGACATCACTAATACAGCATATTGGTTGACAGATTTCAAATTCGAAGCGAGATGAACGCGAGACATAGACGCACCACAATATTTTATAAAAGGAAATAATTTGTAACTTGTAAAATAATATAATTATTATTTTATTATTAAACCCAAAAATACTAATACTGTACCTTGCAGACGCCATCAATATGGACATAGGTCTTTTTTATAAAGAAAATAGGTTATATTAATAAAATAACATTTCAAAGTTTATTATTATTATTATTACTAAAAAAAAAAAAAAACTTACCCATTTTCCTCTCTACTGGTAGTGGTAATGTTGTCGTTGAACCAATCTGTCAGTTTTGCATCGGAAACTAGTTGAACAACTAATTTTCTGTCACCTAAAAAACGTAATAATTAATATAAAACTCGTTTTTAACTAATATTAATATCTTAACGTACATTCAGATTCCTTGGACCATTTCCAAGCGTATTTTTCCATCATTTGAAGGAAATACAATAATTCTTCTTCGGGGTCTTCGAAATGTTTTCTGTTATCAGCATATCTACAATAGTGCCTGTAAAACAAGATTGTTTCTTAATATACCGTAGACCCTACTGTCTTGGTTAAAAAGAAGACCCATTAAAAATGGGAAATTAAATATTGATGAGTCAATCTTACCAATCTGGATGAATGGTCCAATTGCCAGTGAAGTACCTTAATAGAGGCTTCTTGTCCTGCGACAAAGTCAAACGATGAATATCATTCTCTACTTTAGGCTCGATACGGTAATAGCCGTATTTATCTGGAAGGGCTATCACGAGACTAAATGGGGTACCGTTTATGCCTCTATAGTAGTAATGTTTCGTATTGAACGTAATACGTCTCTAAAAAGAAGTATAGATAGTTATTAACCACATTTCGATAATTCGCGAGAATAGCGGCGCAACTAAAAAAAAATTCAATTCGAGATAACTTAAAAACTTAACGCGTCAAGCATCGTTGTTTCTGTATAAAAGAATGTACTTTTTCAATTATATTGGTTTAATAATCTCGAAAATTAAATATTTTTGAATTGTGCCTGTATTCCGCAAATAAGCGATTTATAGATATTAAAATTAAAAATATAAATTTGTACAATAAATATCATCTACATTTACTTACCATATCATCCAGATGGCCTTTTACTTTTAAAGTGATGTTGCCAGAACCTTGCATAACGACGTGCTTTCTGAAGTCTCGAACGATATCGCTAAAGTTTCGAGGATCCGAATCGTCATCGAGGATTTCAATTTCGATCATGTCAACTCTGTTGTAAGCGGGTTTTAAGATTCCTTGATACTGAAATTGTTAAAATACATTCAATTATGTAGAAGATTTATTATAATAACAAGTACCCAACTAACAAAATAAATGTCGTATAAAAGTAAATAGTTATATAATTATACAACAAATTTATCTTGGAAGGAAGAACATCTTGTTATGTAAATATTCTCACAATTCATAGAACACAATGTTTTATTGTAAAATTAGATGTTTCTATAAATGTAACGTTTTACACAATTTTATATAAAATTGTTACAAAAGAGTTGTGCAAAACTTTAATTCTGGTTTTATACTTATTCCATAATCTACTAATTTCAGACTTAAAAACTGTTTTATAAAAGTTTTATACAATGTTGTATAAAAATTTATTTAGGCAGATAACACAACTATTTTATTAAATTGTAATAAAAATATACAATAATTTAAAATATTTTATACATTTATAAGAGAGTTTTATAATAATCACTTAAAATTACAGTATAGTTTTGTTATATAATTTCTATAGAATCAAAATGTTGCATAAAATGGAGACCTTTTTTGTTGTATTAGTATTATATAAGAGTATTTAAACGCATTATAAGATTTGCATTTCTTTAAGATGTTACGTAAGAGTTTTAAAAACGTTTATATCACTTTTTGCTTGTTGAGAATACCATATACTGCATAAGGGTTTTTTAATTGTACTAAACTTTACTTACCACTGGCCTAAGATCAGGGTGTGTTAATATATAACCATTATTAGTTACTATGAAGGCATATCCATTCACCCCTAGCTGCAAAATTAAATATAACAATATAATTTAATATTTAAAAGAAGATTAATATTAAGAACCTACCCTATATGGAAGCATAAGCCTCTGTATATATTCAATGGGAATATCAGTTCCAGCCACTCCCAACAGATTTGCAACTCTTTCCTAAAGAAAATTTCATATTTTAAAATAAAGTTATAAAATACAAAAAAGTAACTAACATCTTTAATACTTTCTAATACTAAAACTAGTTGTCTCTATATTGACTAATTTAAATCTAGAGAAATACAATAATTTAAAATCACAATAATATATAACAAAACGTTTTGCTAAATATTCTAAGATTTCTATATAATAGGTATAACTAATACAGGGTGGTGCAAAATGAACGTTATGGTTTATATGCTTTATAACTTTTTTAGTTAATATTGCATTTTTTCTTTTGTTTTAAAATTTTGTATAGAAGGCTTGGGGAATTTAAAATGGAACAGTACACATTAGAACAACGTACAAACATCATTGATTTTTCAAACGGAAACTCGGTTATTCTGACGCAGTGTGGCAAATCACCCTCAAAATAAATGTGGTTTTAACAAAATAGCGACACGGCTCATACTGCAAGGGATATAATGGTTCTGTTACGGGAAATCTTCGGCGAACACATTTGAACTTTAAAACAATATTCGCAATGAAATTCGTGCCATAACCTCTAAAGTTTTGCAAAGATCCATTTAGCACACATTATTTCAGAAATATTTTAAACGTTTCAAACATATAACATTTCAAGCACAAGTTTCTGAAATATTTTGAAATATTTTAGTTAGGATTGCCAACTTTCAACATTTAAAATAGAGAATCCAGTGGCGGATCCAGAATTTTTACAAAGGGAGGCGCAAGCAAATTTTTTAAAAGGACAAAACAATTTTCAATAATATAGAAAAAATATCAAATAAAACAAGC